AATTTTTAAATTTTAAATTAAATTTTAATTAAATAAAATGATATATTTAAGGTTGAGACTCTAATTTTTTTTTAAGTCAAAACTAATACTCCTTCTATTCCATAATAACAATTGTTTTTTTATTTTTTCCCCTAATTTAAGGATTTGAGGAGTATTTATATATATATTTATTTATATTACATTTAGGAAATGAATTAAAGATAAAGTAAAACTTTTTGTGATAGGTAATTAATCAAAATAAATAAATAACAATAAGGTTAAATATTAAAAAATATTTATTTTCTTAAAAAATGAAAAACAACAATTAATTTAAAATAAAATCAAAATAAAAAAATAAAAATTATTTTAAAATAGAATACTGATAAAGATAGTGATTGGTACACATTTGATTCATTACACTATACAACACAATCATTAAAAAATTATTTTTTTGCTTAAAATTAAAGATAGATAAATTTAAAAGTACAATCATGCGCACAAGATGTAAGAATCGACTAAATCAATTGTATTTATATTACTTTTTTACTAGTTGAACCAAAAGTGTGTCAAAAAATATGTTTAACCAAATGTGTACCAGTCATTTTCCTACTGATAAATAGGACCAAATTTTAGAATTAAAACAAGGCATTTAAAATATTAAAAGATAAATTTTATATTATTTAATGATTTTTTTAACTTATAATATCATATGAATCAATTAATTAAATGATATAATTATACCATATCATTAATCTTAAATTTTCATCCTCCTATCATTACTTTGTCAAATAGAGAGAGCATGTACCAAACCCCTACAAAAAATCAAAGTACATTTTACATTCAAAGTTTCAAACTCCATCCCGAGCAATTCGTCCTGTGGTGATGCAAATAGGTACGTGCTTAAAACTCCTATAAAGAAGGAGATCCTTCTCCCTGCATAAGGCCACGTATCTTCGTATTCTCTTTTTCAGGAGTCACTAGCAGAACTAAAATATAGTAATTTCATTTTTATTGTAAAAATGCAGTTTCCTATTTCGTGATGGTTACTGTCATCTCCTTTCAAG